CAGGAAAGAACACCTGGAAAGTTTGGCTTGGTGTTGCGTTAGTGTGTCTGTGTGACGCACAGTTAGTGTGTCTGCCAGGGTACTCCATGAGCAGCAAGAGCTTTCTGTGCTGGCGCCTTTGTTCTGGGAGGAATCTTCGTCTGTATGCAATTTTTGGTGTAGGGCTGGCATTTGGCAGGCAAGCTTTAAAACAGGAAACAGCAACCCTAATCCTCAGGAAAGAAAGCCTAAAAGCTTTGGCTTTTAGGTTGGCCAGGCTGGGCACTCCATGAAGAGCAACAGCTTTCTGTCAAGGCCTCTTTGCTGGTGGAGGAATCTTTGTATGTATTGAATTTTGGGATTTGGGCTGTCAGTTGGGAGGCAAGGTTGAAAACAGGAAACAGTAGCCATTACCCCCAGGAAAGAAAGCCTGGAAGCTTTGGCTTTGTGCTGCAGTTGGTGGGTCAGGCTGAGCACTCTATGGGCACTACTAGCTTTCTGTGCTGGCACCTTTGGTGCGGGAGGAATTTGAGGAGGATTTGAGCTGTCAGTTGGGAGACAGGGCTGAAAAGAGGAAACAACAGTGTTTACTCCCAGGGAAGAAAGCCTGGAAACTTTTGCTTTGTGGTGTAGTTGGTGGAGCAGCCTGGGGACTCCATGAGAAGCAAGAGCTTTCTGGGCTGGCACCTTTGGTGTGGGAGGAATCTTTGTTTGGATGCAATTCTGGGAGTCGGGCTGTCAGTTGGGAGGCAGGGCTGAAAACAGAAACTACAACCTTTACTTCCAGGAAAGGAAGCCTGGAAGCTTTGGGTTTATGGTGCAGTTGGTTTGTCAGCCTGGGGACTCCATGGGCAGCAAGAGCTTTCTGTGCTGGCACCTTTGGTTTGAGAGAAATCATCGTCCGTATGCAATTTTGGGAGTCAGGCTGTCAGTTGGCAGGCAGGGCTGAAAACAGAAAATACAACCTTTACTTCCAGGAAAGGAAGCTTGGAAGCTTTGGTTTTATGGTGCGGTTGGTTTGTCAGCCTGGAGACTCCACTGGCAGCAAGAGCTTTCTGTGCTGGCATCGTTGCTGTGGGAGAAATCATCGTCCGTATGCAATTTTGGGAGTCAGGCTGACAGTTGTAAGGAAGGGCTGAAAACAGGAAACAACAGCCCTTATACCCAGGAAAGAAAGACTGGAAGCTTTGGTATTGTAGTGCAGTTTGTGGGCCAGCCTGGCCACTACATGAGCAGCAAGTGCTTTCTGTTCTGGCACTTTTGGTGTGGGAGGAATCTTTGTATGCAATTTTGGGAGTCGGGCTGGCAGTTAAGAGGCAGGGCTGAAAACAGGAATCAACAGCCCTTCTCGCCAGGAAAGAAAGACTGGAAGCTTTGGCTTTGTCGTTAAGTTAGTTTGTCATCCTGGGTACTCTATTGGCAACAAGAGCTTTTAGTGCTGGCACCTTTGTTGTGGGTGGAATCTTCGTCCGTATGCAATTTTGGGAGTCATGCTTGCAGTTGGGAGGAAGGGCTGAAAACATGAATGTTGTGGGGTATATTTTGGAGGTCTTGGTCCTGTGGGGTAAGAAAGACACGCGACACACAAACACTAGGATGAAGAGACACACAGTAGGATGAAAAGCCAGATGTCTGCCTGCTCAGTGCAGCAAGCAGCTTTTTATTTAGTTCTCCCACTTCTGCTTTTTCACACACACAACACAAACTTATTTCCACAAAAACACCGAGGAATGCCACACCTGCACTTCAGCTCAAGGCTGTGTCCATGGGAACTATCTAATTAGCTCCACTGCTCCCATAGAAAACGGCCCAACACTATATAACATTCCAAAACCCTCAAACTTCAGTTGTGGGGCTGTGACTGCACCCCACACATGAAACAACAGCCGTTATCGCCAGGACAGAAAGACTGGAAGCTTTGGCTTTGTGGTGCAGTTGGTGGAGCAGTCTGGGCCCTACATGAGCACAAAGAGCTTTCTGTGCTGGCAACTTTGGCCTGGGAGGAATCTTTGTTTGTAAGGAATTTTGGGTTCAGGCTGGCATTTGGGAGGCAGGGCTGAAAACAGGAAACAAAAGCCTTTATTTCCAGGAAAGAAAGCCTGTAAGCTTTGGTTTTGTTGTGCAGTTGGTTTGTCAGCCTGGGGACTCCATGAGCAGCAAGAGCTTTCTGTGCTGGCACCTTTGGTGTGGGAGGAATCTTTGTTTCTATGCAATTATGGGAGTCAGGCTGTCAGTTGGGAGGCAGGTCTGAAATCAGGAAACAACAGCCCTTATCCCACGGAAAGAAAGACAGGAAGTCTTGGCTTTGTGGTGCATTTTGTGTCAGCCTGAAGACTCCATGGACAGCAAGAGCTTTCTGTACTGGCACCTTTGGTATTGGAGGAATCTTTGTCCATATACAATTTTGAAAGTTGGGCTGTCAGTTGGGAAGGAGGTCTGAAAACAGGAAACAACAGCCCTTCTCGCCAGGAAAGAAAGCCTGGAAGCTTAGACTTTGTGGTGCAGTTGGTGTGTCAACCTGGGGACTGCAAGAGCAGCAAGAGCTTTCTGTGCTGGCGCCTTTGGTGTGGGAAGAATCTTTGTCCATATGAAATTTGGGAGTCTGGCTGGCTTTTGGGAGGCAGGTCTGAAAACAGGAAACAACAGCCCTTCTCGCTAGGACAGAAAGCTTGGAAACTTTGGCTTTGTGCTGCACTTAGGTTTGTCAGCCTGGGCACTCCATGGGCAGCAAGAGTTTTTCTGTGATGGCACCTTTGGTGTGGCAGGAATTTTCGTCTGTATGCAATTTTGGGAGTCAGGCTGTCAGTTGGGAGTCACGGCTGAAAAGAGGAAACAAAAGCCCTTCTCGCCAGGACAGAAAGCCTCAAAGCTTTGGCTTTGTGGTGAAGTTGGTGGGCCAGGTTGGGTACTCTGTGGGCAGCAAGAGCTTTCTGTTCTAACACCTTTAGTGTGGAAGGAACCTTGGTCCATATGCAATTTTGGTAGTTGGGCTGTCAGTTGGGAGGCAGATCTGAAAAATGAAACAACAGCCATTACCCCAGGAAATAAAGACTGGAAGCTTTGGCTTTGTGGTGCAGTTGGTTTTCCAGCCCTGGGACTCTGTGGGCAGTAAGAGCTTTCTGTGCTGGCACCTTTGGTGTGGCAGGAATCTTTGTCTGTATGCAATTTTGGGAGTAGGGCTGGCTGTTGTGAGGCAGGTCTGAAAACAGGAAACAACAGCCCTTATCCCCAGTAAAGAGAGCCTGGAAGCTTTGGCTTTGTGGTATAGTTGGTGGGTCAGGCTAGGCACTCTATAGGTAGGAAGAACTTTCCGTGCTGGCACCTTTGGTTTGGAAGGAATCTTTGTACGCAATTTTGGGAGTTGGTTTGTCATTTAGGAGGCATGTCTGAAAAATCAAAAAACAGCCCTTATTGCCAGGAAAGAAAGGTGGGAAACTCTGACTTTGTGGTGCAGTTTCTGTGTCAGCCTGGGCATTCCATGAGCAGCAAGAACCTTCTGGGCGGGCACCTTTAATGTGGGAGGAATCTTCGTCCTTATGCCATTTTGAGAGTTGGGCTGGCAGTTGACAGACACAGCAGAAAAAAAGCAAACAACAGCCCTTATTGCCAGGAAAGAAATCCTGGAAGCTTTGACTTCCAAAATTGCATACAAAGAAAGATTCCTCCCACACCAAAGGTGCCCGCCCAGAAAGCTCTTGCTGTGCATGTAGTGCCCAGAGTGCTGCACCAATGGCAGTGGAGAGACGGAGGGTCAGGCCTTTTTTCCTAGTTTGGAAGGGCAATCGTTCATGGCACGAGCTCCGTTCCTAAATGGGCCGTCCGAGGCCCAAAAGTAAATACGGACGAAGATTCCTCCCAGACCAAAGGGGCCCACCCAGAAAGCTCTTGCTGTGCACGTACTGCCCAGAGTGCTGCACCAACGGTAGTGAGAGACAGAGGGTCAGGCCTTTTTGCCTGGATGGAAGGGCAATGGTTCGTGGGCAGGAGCCACGATCCTAAATTGGCCGTCCGAGGCCCAAAAGTGAATACGAACGAAGATTCCTCCCAGACCAAAGGGGCCTGCCCAGAAAGCTCTTGCTTCTGGTACCCGAGTTTACCCAAATTAGCGTCTCTCGCTAATTTCTGCGCTTTCACCCCAAAAATCTTCATGTTATTCCCCCAAAAACACCCCGGGAGAGACAGGAGGCCACAAGTCCCGCCGTGCCACCGGAACCGGCCCTTAAGTCTAGCAGGGAGCGCTGCAGCGGCATGAGAGCCACTGCACATGCGTGGCCGGTCCCTCTCCTGACCGCCCTTAAGTACCATGTGATCGCTGGCATCTTGTCAATGACTGCGCATGCGCGGCCGTCGCCACCTTGGCTGCCCCCCACACTGCCTGACCGCCAGGGTTCGCTCTTTTACTGCGCGCGCCTCGCCTGCTTTTCTGGGGCCCCTCCCTCACATTTCGCGGCTCCCCCCCCCCGCCGCTTTTTCGGCTCCCTGGGGTTCCCCCACCCACCTTTTGGGGTCCCCTTCTCACATGTTAGAGGTGATCCCCAATTTACGGGTTGGAGGGTGGGGCGGGAGTAAACGGGGTGCCCAAGAAGGGTTGTTTTTCATTTCACTTTTCAATTTATTGCCTTTTCAGTTTGCTCACTTTTATTCTTTTTCTTTAGTTTTCTTTCGCATTTTATATTTCCTTCTTTATTTCGTTTATTTGTTATTCTCTATTTTTCATTATCTTTTCTTTTCTTTCTCGTTTGGTTTTTCATTTTTTTAGTTCTTAGTCTTCCAGAGACTTTCTCTGGGCCAGAGAAAGGTTCCCCTGCTGTTCCCTTAAACACAACGCCTGCAATGAGTGCCCTGGAAGCCCGCTCCACTCATGCCAGGCACTGGGGCTCACCCAGAGGGGCTTTGCCAGCACCCAATGGAAATTAAAATTACAGCCTGGGCAGTAAATTAAAATTACAGTCTGGCAGGACCGCTCCTGGCCAAGGCCACCGGTCCATGCAAGTCACTGACCACACGGGGGGATTTTCAGGGGGAATTTTCGGGGGCACACTTCCAGCTTTTATTCTCCAGAAACTCCAGTTCTTTCTGGCACCACTTGCTTCAGTCTTCCCCTGTTGGAGGAGGTCACTTAGTCTTTCTAGGGGCCAGATTGCCAAAGCCCAGCCAATCCATTCCCACAAGGAAAGGTAGCTTTGTCTTGTACAGGATACTGGGGGGGGAGACACAAAATAAAAGTTTAACTTAAAACTTCCTGGAATATAAAGCAATTCAAACATAAGGCAGACAAGACTTGTGCAAAACAGAATACATTTGACTTCAAAGGATAGCACCTAACAGAATGTCATTTTTACCCAGGTCCTGCTTACCATTGTCGAACAAAACATGCTGACAAAATTTTTCATGATGACAGTGGAGAGATATTAGAGCACACTGCTCAGGGAAGCTGAGGCTGCCCCATCCCTGGAAGTGTTCCAGGCCAGGTTGGATGGAACTTGGAGCAACCGGGGATAGTGGAAGGTGTCCCTGCCCATGGAAGACATGAAGGTCCTCTTCAAACCAAATCACTCTATGATTCCCCTCCAAAATAACTACCAAAGAGACACAGCAATCAAAGCAGAGGGACTGCACTCCCAGTTTTTCTTATCTGCAGGCACACAGCACATTGGACATAAAAGCCACAGGGTTAGTCCTGCCAGAGGTGTCCGGCACACACTTAGCGACCGAAGGGAAAGAGGAAGCCTGGGAACACAGAGTAAAAGACACTTTAACTAGGAGTACACTGAGCAACAGCCAGGTCATTCACACAGCTTCACTGTCCAGTCATACAAAAAGCACTCACCAAGGCCTCAGTAATGATGGTTCCTGACGATGACCACGTGAATACCTCCATTTGCCCCAGGATGTCAAGAATAACATCCCTGGTAAGAAGTCACCCCAAACAACAAAAAGGCAAAATTAGTTAAGCATGGGGTCCTCTTCTGACCAGATTACCACCAGCATTCAATAGCAAATGACATGACTATTCTGTTACAGACGAGAAAACCTTCTCCCAAACAGTGATGAGATTTATGGGCACACCTGAAAATTTCCTGTGAGAAATTTGTAACTAAGCTTTCTCTGCTGGCACATTTTGTCCAGAAGGAATCTTGGTTCATCTGGAATTTTGCCTAGGAGAAATCGCAGTTTGAGTGCCGGGCTGCAAAAAGCAAACAACAGCCCTTATCCCTGATAAAGAAAGCCTGCAAGGTTTGGTTTTCTGGTGCAGTTGGTGGGCCAGCCTGGGGACTCCATGGGCAGCAAGAGCTTTCTGTGCTGGCACCTTTGGTGTGGG